ACTGCATTATTAAACGATCAAATGAGCAAATAAAAACTGTACAAACCTCAAAGTGATCTCAAAACAACTTGAACACAAGAGCCAAGTGTTACTGTGGGCGTAATTCAACAAATCTGAATGGAAGAAAATAAGCCTTGGTAGGAATAGCACGCTTACCTTCACGCTGCACATGAAAGAGCCAAATGTGAGCGCTCAAGTCGCGATTAAAACAAGTTGGGTAAAAATTCAAGTAGATAAACAAACAAAGTCAAATGGTAGGATCGATGTGTAAATATACAAGGGGAGTGGAACGTGAAATGTCTATATGTCTATGAGGCGGATGGTGTTTGGTGAATGGAACGTAGAATTCACGAAATGTGGAACCGAGATTGGATGACTGGGTTTTACAAGAAGGATTTTCACAGATAGATCAATACACCATCAGAGCCATCTTCCTGTTGTTCTATTCGCAGACATGCACAGACCCGGAAGATATCAACGAACACCAGGACGCGGTTTCTATCCCCGAGAACACCAAACCGGCCAAATGTTTTACTGATTGGTCTCCCCTTTGGTTATGTACATCTGTTGCTTCGCTTGATGCGTGAAAACACAGGTGCCCTCCGGTGTATCTGTCTTTTCGTCACGATTCCGTATCCGAGTGCGTGCGCTGAGCTGGTCCATATTGACTCCCCGTGTTTCGTTACAGCGAGCTTTCGAGGTTACCGGTATCAAGCTACAGAACATGCTACATTTGGCGTCGCGGGCAGGATATGGAGAAATCTACAGACAACCTCAGCCCACCAATCGTGAAGCCGGCGCTGTGCGCGAAGGGCCACGACCCAAAGCCGATGCCTCATCAGCCACCACTCTTCAGACTGGGCGAGGATTTTGAAGATTGGGAATTCCGCGTTGGGCTATACATCGCCGGCGCAACTCAAATCATAATGGGTCCTATGATTTTGAGCTTCTTGGGAGAGAAAGCATCACATATATTCCGTTCGCGTCTCAGCCTTCGCGCTTGCACCCCAATTACTCGCAACCTTACGCAAGCTGTTCGCACGGACCGAAAACTTAGCCATATGGCGGGAAAGGCTACTCCAAAGGCGTCAGCAACTTGGTGAGACTGTAAACGCCTACGTCCGGGCCCTGAGAACGATCGCTTCGAAGGCATTCCCGGGGTCCGGCGTGAAGGATATCGAGCTAGCTGTCTGCCAACAGTTCTGACGTGGGGTAAACAACGTGCTGTTGAAGAGGAAGTTCATGACGAAATTCCCGGTCGACCTGGATGCAGCCGTGACAAAGGCTAGAGGGCTCAAAGCGATGGAATTTGGCAGCATGATGGCGTCATGCAGCGCATCCGCAGTACCTCCAGAAGTAAGCACAAATGAAGCAGTGCCGGTGACTAAAACGTCTGCCTACTGTACATGTCCCACATGCAGATGCCATGATGGCAACCGGAGACCACAAAGATACTACCACCCATCGGGAGACCAATGAGGTCTAAATCCTGTGATGATTGCATTGCCTCAGTATCACTGAGTTCACATAGTTGTCCGTTTACTGCTATTGGGCTCATTCAAGGATTTGATATGAGAATTTTGATTGATATTGGAGCCTCAAGTTCATTGGTATCTGCCAGGATGTGGAGATTATTAGGCAGAACACCTGAACCAAGGATAACAAGGAGAAGCGCAATCACAGCTAAGGACAAACCATGGAAGTTAAGGGAACCTTTAGTCTGGGTGTGCGGTTTGGGAGGTTCATGACGGAGCAGGCGTTCATGGCATGTGAACCGCTCCACTGGGATGCAATATTTGGAGCGGAATTTCTCAACCAAAATGAAACCGTTATCGATACCCGGAGAGGATTGATGTGGTTCCACGTGGGTTAAAGGATCAATCGTGTTAGACTACAGACTTCAGTCAGTGAAGCCAGTGCTCCGGGTGCCATCACTAACTCTCGTACAATTTACAACCGTGAAGAAGATGTGATAGAACAGAGTAAAAAGAATAGGGATTGTAACAGTAAAAAGACTGGAAATTCCTCTCAATTACCTTGCATTTCCTTATCTTTCTTCGCCATTCTATCGTGCATTCTTTCCGACAGTGGTTTTCATGTCGGTGAATTTTCTCTCCTCAACCTTCTAGTTTACCATTTTTACGGTGAACCATATCTATTGAACACACACTCCAAGTGCTTCGCTCTTACACGTAAATGACATTCAGTGCTTTTTCTTGTTTTATTGCGACCAAAGTTTCGATTGGACGCTCGTTATTGAACTAACCGCTGCTTTCGGTTATATTGAACCCATTTTGGCTGTAACGCTCAAGATTATTTTGCTTGATCTGTTGAAGCGTGCAGAATTTTACGATTGGTTCAGAATTAATAATAATAACGGTATATTTCGCGAAGCCCGCGAAGCATGCTAGTGCGCATGATCAAAACGTACAACAATATGAAACATGATTAGTGTAGACCAAAGGGTAGTAGTACAAAGAGTGTTGGAACGTAGTTTGAAACAGGTACGTAGATTTTCGTAAATGTGACTTGCGTTGGAAGCGAAACACAAAGCGGACAAGGTCATAAAATGGAGTAATTGGGGTGATCTGCTATGTAATGCACGTCGTGGTGAACTTATATCTCATGACAAATAATGGCAACACAGAAAATTGGGAGTTAGAATATCCGCTCGGGAGAAAATGCGCGGAAAAGAGTTCAAAGAACAAAAACAGAATAGCGACGAAGAAAGATTCATAATTTTAGAGGCAGAGCTGCAATCGAGCTGAAGGCGAGTACAGTAATTCTAGAAGAGAGGACAGATGGCTTATGAATAAACTGTTTCATATGTCGATACAGTTGGGAGGACTTCTGTGATAACTCAAAAATGGGCTTCGGGACTTTACCGTAAACGGACTGATTGGTTTTATTTATATTATTGAGGTGTCGGTCAATTTGATGTGGGACTGACTACACGCTAGACACCCAACCTTAAAACACCTTGTAGGTGAGGCACGGGGTGTGATTCTCAACCTGGTCCGGAATGCAAACGCATGTAGTCTAAACGGTGGATTCAACCGCGCCCAAAAACCATTGCTGGAGCCAAATTGTCCATTGTGGGTGTATACCACCAAGCCTTCAGCAACCCCAAGCCAACCGAATCTGGAATCTGGAGCACGTAAGTGCCCGAAAGTATATATATACTGATATATATTTAAAAGGAAAGTGCGCACACAAAATAACGCAGATAAAGATGAAGCAAATCACAGGAAGGAAATATAATGTCAAGAATTGAGGATGACAAGTCTAATGTAGGTTTACCCCTGAACGGTTTGGGTTCCACAGATATAGCTTAGACGTCCGACGAGTGAAGCAGTTAGGGAGGAGTTGATGGATAAACACTAATGCCACGTCAGACTGTGCCACGGGGAAGAGATAGCTCGAAGGGATCAACATGGATGAACAGACAAGAAATTGGAGAAATTGTGGAGGACAAACGTTGTGCAATTATTTGGATAAGAGAAATGTTCATCACTAATCCAGTGCTGAAGGTCGAACAGTGCACCAACATCAGCTCACCTACTGCATCAGAATGTGTCGTTGTTATGTTGGTTTCCACCTGAAAAATTTCGTTCCAAGCTCTGAAGCTCGACCAACGTCCTGGTTGGAAAAGCGTTGAATAGTGATTACTGCTGCCTATCAGCAAGTGGAACGGAGAGGAGGTGGATGAGGGTTAGAGATTAAAGAATAACCTAGAAATATTGAGAGCTATGAGTGACAAACCTGATGCAGGTTTCACGTAACATGCTTTTGTTCTTCTGATGAAGCTGTGAAGCTGGACCAATGTACTGATTAGAAATGGGTTGAAATGTGATCACTGCTGCCTGGTCAGTATGTGACACGGAGAGGAGGTGGATGTGGGTTGGAGATGAAAGAATCAAACGGAAATATTGAGAGCTACGGGTGAGAAACCTGGTGTGAGTTTTCAGATTACAGGGTTTGTTCTATTGATCGAGCTTTGGAGCTCGACCAATGTGCTGCATAATAATTGGTTCAAAAGTGACCACTGCTGCTTGGTCAGCATGTGTCACAGAGAGGTGACCGATGAGGGTTAGAGATGAGAGCACACACCAGAAATATTGAGAACTATGGGTGACAAACCTGTTGTAGGTTTTCAAGTAACACGACGTTTTTCCACTGATCAAGCTCTGAAGCTCGGCCAATGTACTGATAGGAAATGGAGTGAAATGTGATCACCGCTGCTTGGTCAGCATGTGACACGCAGAGGAGGTGAATGAGGGTTAGACATGAAACAACGGGCCAAACATTTTGAGAGCTGTGGATGAGAAACCTGTTGTAGGTATTCACGTTACAAGTCTCTCACTACTGATCAAGATCTGAAGCTCGACCAATGTATTGATTGAAAATGGGTCGAAAAGTGATCACTGCAGCCTGGTCAGCATGTGTCACGGAGAGGAGTTGGATGGAGGTTAAGATGAAAGAACAGAACGGAAATATTGAGAGCTGTTGATGACAAATCTGGTGTAGGTGACACGTGACGTTTCTCTTT